AATGACAACTAAATATTCAAATGACAACTAAAATATCCAAACGACAACTAAAATATCCAAATGACAAGTAGAATATCCAAATGACAACAAATAAAAATCCAAATGTGAAACTGAGATATCCAAACGACAACTAAATATCCAAATGACAACTAAAATATATAAATCACATATCTGAATGGCAAATGACATATCTAAGTGACATACCTGAATGACAAATGATATATCTAAATGACAACTGACATATACGAAAGACAACTGATATATTCAATTGACAAGTTACATATATGAATGACAGGTGACATATTTTCAAATCAAAAGTGGCATATCTGAATAAAAATGAACATATCCCACTGACAACTGACATGTTCAATGGACATATCCGACTGACAACTGACATAACCAAATAACAGCTGACATATCTGAATACAAATTGAATTATGTGCGATGAATTTCAAATCAACAACGGAATTGAATAGTAATTGATTGCCCGTTTCTTTCCAGGCGTACGGTATTAATTTTCCCGTTCAAGCCCGGAATCGTCACTGTAACAGTCGATCTGTAAGGTTAATTTTGTAGCTGATACACCCATATGTATCGCTCGTTACGCTCTTTTCGAAATCCTGTGCCACAGCGACTGCTCACAATTCTGTTTGGATAGCGCACCGGGTATGAGTTAGAAATTTACACTTACTGTGAACAAGTGGTAATATCAATCATGACTAAATTCACAAATCGTCAAAATGGGCACCAATTTCAGTTTTAACATTCAGTATCTCAATAGCTAGCACTCTAACTTAGTCTGACTCCAGCGACTTGTCGAGCGCCAGTTTATTTTATTTAAATGCCCGTGATTCGCCGAACAGTACCCCGCCTCAATCGCGACAACCACGTTACTAATCTATGATCTCCCGATGGTTTCGGCCTATAACCACTCAAGCTTAAAGCAGGAGGGGCGTCACCTGCGCACGCGCGGGGACACACGCTAAAAACGCAAAGGCTCATGGGTAGATGCTTGCTTGCTTATAAACAATGACACGCTATGGCCATCTGACGCATGCGCAGGTGACGTATCCCTCGCTTACGCACGCGTGACTAGGTGCTGTAACGATTCAGTTCGTCATCTACTCGATTAGTATGGAAATTAAAGTCACGACAGTTGTTCATTTGTTTTACATAAAATTCATTAACCCAGTGTGACCGCGTATTGAAACTAGTATTTGTACATGATATGTGACGTCATGTAATTAAAGTCAACTGATAAATAACTATACACGTGATTGGCAATCGATGTTGGTTAATGAAATAATCCAAATTATCTTGCAACAAAAAACACGCTTCAGTAAGAATTATGCATTTAAATTATTAAACACCAGTATGTAGTAAAATTATAATCTTGGAAATGAAAAAAAAAAATCACTAGTACTTTCGCGATATAAAACGTACAGCGAATAAAATGTATTTGTATTTTACAGCTAATACTACCAATAAAATAGCAGAAAGCAACATGTTCTTTGGCAATGTGTCGCTTTAAGGCTCATACGTTGTTGTTGATGATGTTGAGCACGTGTTGCACGTCTAAAGTGTTGATTCGAAGAAATAAATAAAATTATCTTATATGCATGTGCTGTTGAGTTATTTTACGTATAAAATAATCAGTGGACTTGCGTATTGCGCATTTTTTCATCAGTTATGTGATAAAAGTAACAATGAATTTAGTAATCTGGCGACTGCTACCACTTTTGCATAGTATTTTATTCTATTGTACATCGCGTTCGTGAAGCACCACAGAGATTATGACAGTGAATATTTACTTATAAATAACAACCGAAGCATTGACAAAATGAAACCAATATTGTAATTCATTGCATCCGTTATGAGTAACAGAAATATGCCACGCGAATAAGGAGGAAAAACTGGGTTGCAAAAAATAAAGGACGAAGGTGTGTACCAGCGGGGTCGAAGGAATAATTTGTAAAAGATGTATAGCTTGAACGCAGTTTATTCCTCGAATTGCTGGCAATAATAAAGATAATAATAGAATGGTCCAGTATTGCACGCGTCTTCTAATCACGCAAATAAAATAAACTTGTGCTTGCTGCCAATGCACTCACACAGTAATGTTAGCGTTTTTATTTCTCTCAAAGAAGAACGAAATTAAATGCGTAAATAGGTAGTTGTTATATAGGGTATTCCATGTATAAACGGGTAGCTAATTCTCTAACGTTAATTAGCTAACGTCTAACATTCATTCAGTTGATATTATCAGTGAAACGTAGATTACTTTTTATTGTGATGTTATTATTACTAATTTTAAACGCTAGAGTTTCGGTTTTTCTGTTAAATAAACAACATCATGCAAACACGAGAAACGTCTTCAAAATTGAAAAATAAGCTCTGAGTATTCTATTATCACACATGCTACTATAGTATAAGACTGTTATATATTATGGTCGAAGCTAACTTCACTCATAATATTGGGGACCAGCAATTATATTTGTTGTCATAAATATGTTCACGGTAAACTGATACGGACAAACTGCCCGGATAGATCTCCAACTTGTGAAAGAACTGGAGTTAAGCTGTGGCTTATGGGAAAGCAGCAATCAGGTAAATCGGATTTCTGTACCAAACCCGAGAGCCATCAATAATCCACGTAGAAATGGTATCGGATGAAATATTAGAACGTAATTCTGCTTTCGCCTTGTTTCGCTTCGCATTATTTTGAAAACACATTACTTTAATAGATGATTGCTGAAGCGGTACGTGAAAGCATCGCGTTGTTTGCGATGTAAGTCCCACGAGACTTGTACATACAACCGTCGCGTAATATAAATGTTTAACTAGTCACTGTGTGGCGCGGTTACTACACACTATTTCGAGATGTTCATTTTTGGGACAGTAGATTATTTTTGTCGTTTAACGGCCACATTTAGTACCTCAAAATTCAATTAACAGTTAAGTGAGCTTGGGTCTATTGACTTTAAAGAGAGAAAGCTACGTTGACCGTACGGTTAACTGTTAATTACTAAATGTTGACGTCAAACAACAAAATCGATGAATGATACCCGTACTATAGAGTTAGCTTCAGTGAACGCTAAATTGAACATCGAGTTATAATTTGGGGGTACTTTCGCATAGGTGTTTTCCAAAATATGCGCATAATCATTTTTGTAACTCGATGGTTTCCAAAACTAGATATTCGTAACCCGATGTTTGTAAATCGAACAATTGCGCAATGTACTGCCATTATAGTCCTTCTAAGACACCCTGGAGTGAAGCCACAATATTAGACAATGCAATATCACCTAAGAAGAAAGCTATGATGAGCTGGGAGACGAGTTTAGTTCCAGCGATTTATACTCCAAAGTCGAAATTATACTACTCGAGGGTCGA